TTGCTGTTGCTGCCGCTGTCGCTGTCACTGTCGCTATCGCTATGGCCGTCGCTGTCGCTGTGGCTGTTGCTATTGCTGTTGGTGTTGTTGTTGCTCTTGTTGCTGCTGCTCCTGCTCCTGCTTCTGCTGCTGCTGCTGCTGCTGCTGCTGCAGCTGCTGCTGCTGTTGCTGTTGCTGTTGCTGTTGCTGTTGCAGTTCCGGTTCCTGTTGCTGTTGCTGTTGCTGATTCTGCTCCTGTTCCTGTTCCTGTTGTTGTTGCTGCTGCTGCTGTTGCTGTTGCTGGTGCTGTCCCTCCTGCTGCTGCTGCTGTTGTTGTGGCTGCCGGGGCTCTGGCTGTTGATGTCGCTGTTGTTGTTGTCGTCGTTGTCGTTGTTTGTGTTGCTGTTGTTGCTGTTGCTGTAGCTGTTGCTGCTGTCGTTGTTGTTGTGGCTACTGCTACTGTACTGCTGTTGCTGTTATTATTGTTGTTGCTGCTGTTGTTTTGGTTGTGCTTGTGGTTGTGGTTGTGGTGGTGTTTGTGGTGGTGGTGGTGGTGGTGGTGGTGGTGGTGGTGGTGGTGGCGGTGGTGGCGGTGGTGGTGGTTGTTGTGGCTGTTGTGTTTGTTGTGGTTGTTGAATTTGATATTGCTGCTGTTGCTGCTGTTGCTGCTGTTGTTGCTGTTGTTGCTATTGTTGTCGGTGTGGTGGTTGTTCTTGCTGTTGCTGTTGTTCTTGCCGCTGCTCCAGCTGTTGTCATATTTCACGTGTTCACAGGTTAGGTGAGAGGCTTATCTCGCCCTGATTCTCGGCCAGTAGCACGAGACCCGCAGAACACGTCTTCTTGTCATGGGATTACCCGTATTAAACCGCTTCCAAGTACCGTTCTCAAGGTAGGTTTCTTTAAATCAGGAGTTACCTACCATAAGATGCCAGCATTACTTTTGAAACACAACTCTTTTAGGCATCAGACTTAGTGTCCTGCGTTTTCGGACCAAGGGCAGAATCCCCAATTAAGACCTATTCAACCTGCTCCCTCAAGGTTCCAAAGGAGCGTCCGAGTAATCACAGCTTCCGTGCCGAGGACCCGCCAAGTCTCCCTCTATCCTGAAATCATTTGCACATCCAAAGCCGCCAAGTCGAAATCCGGCTCCGGTCGGCACCCCTCAAAACAGCCGGGATGCTGCTGACCTGCGATTCCAGCGACCATCGTGCCCGCAAAAACGCCAAGGCTTCCCGCCACCTGACTGTATCCATGTTGATGTGATATGTTGGCATCAATCGGTTCTAAAGATTCAAGATGGGAGTGTTAGCAGCGACTGCGGTCAGAAGACCCTTTTCAACAATCGCCACCCCGGCCGGCTTCCCTGACGACAAGAAAACTAAACCCTAATTATGAACCCTGGGTCTCTAATCCCTTGACAGCTGCGACTCGTGAAGCAACCGTCCCTGCCTTGTCCCCTTCTCGCACGCGCTCGTGACCGCATCGAAGGTGGCTGAGCTCCTGGGATTCTCGAGACTCCCCGGACGTGCTCTGCCCATGGAAACATAGAAGCGACATACTATGTTGCATCAGCTGTTAATAAGAACCGCCTCGCACCCACTGTAATCATGATGCCCCTTGTCGCTGCGAGCATCAACAGCAGCATCACCGATCATCATCACACCATCAACAGCATGTCTGAGATAAAGTCGATTAGCAATGCTACTTCAGCTGCTTCAGCTCTTCAATTGGGCTTGCAATTGGGCTTGTAGTTCTGGTTCTACGCATCAGACTTTAAGACCTCCAAGGGTCAACCATGAACATACGGCTTCCTGACTGCTCTTGGCTTCAGCAGCCGCCGACAGTTGTAGCAGTAGCAGGAATAGCAGTAGCAGAAGAAGGAGTAGCAGTAGTAGGTGGTAGTAGTAGTAGTAGTAGTAGTAGTAGTAGTAAAATGGTAGTAGTAGTAGGAGTAGTAGTAGTAGTAGTACTACTACTACTACTACTACTACTACTACTACTACTTACTGCTACTACTACTACTACTACTACTACTACTACTACTGCTACTACTACCACTACGAAGACGACCACTACTACTAGTACAAGTACGAGTACGAGTACGAGTACTAGTACTAGTAGTAGTAGTAGTAGTAGTAGTAGTAGTAATAGTAGTAGTAGTAGTAGTAGTAATAGTAGTAGTAGTAGTAGTAGTAGTAGTTGTTGTACTACTACTACAACTACGACTAC